TAGGGTTTCCTGTCTAGGTAGGGGGTTGGACTAGAAGACCTTCAAGGTCCCTTCCAACTCTGCCATTATATTGTATTGTGTTTTAATAAGTTCTTACATTCTTAAGGAACTCTTCTGCCACAATGCGAGCCCTAGCATTGACTGACAGCTTCATTTCACTGATTTCCTTGTCAATTTCCTCCATAAAATGAATGACAAAGTCCACCAGCTTGTGCTTGTACATCTGCTCTGTATGGAAATTTGTAATCAAGAAGCTGATGTCATAGCCCTAAAAAAAAACCAAACATAACAAATTATTAGCATCAGTGAAGTCAAGACTCAGCCATCAATTTTTCTGTACTGTTGACTATTGATTCAACATAGACAAAAATAATCTAGCTTTTTTTTGGTTGCTTGTGATCTAAAGACCTAATATTGTACATAAGAAGTTCTGCCATATTAATATTTGAAAACAGTCTATGCTACCTACATAATGAATCATACAGTTGAAAAAGAATCAAGAGAACAAAATATTCTATGTAATAATAAGGAAACATTGCCAACTATTCTGTATTTATTTAGTTTAGTTAGTTACCTGTATTCAGCCTCAATCTAGTTTTTCCAATATACGTATAAAAAATAGATATTGCCCTGACAGCTAGCACAAAAAATAAGTCTCACACCATTCATCCATGGTTAAACAGACCAAATCAGAGATAAAAGCAGTTCAATAAAGCCACATTATTTGATTTTGTAAAAGAGATTGTTACTGATTTAAATGTGCCTTATAGATAAGAGGCACTTTGAAATTTTAGGCCTGCTGGAAAGCTTAACGTGTGAAATAACCCACACATTGGTACTACCACTACTGCCAACAGAATCATACACATAGGGCAACAATGACTTCATATAACCCACCTCAACTGGTTTCCGACGTAAAATGAAGAAGTTTTCTGCTCTCATCATCATGAACCGCATAAATTTGTGACATAGAATTTTCTCAATCTCATCAGCCTGCCGAAGGAAAATAGGAATCCATGAGCCTTTTCTCCAGGATGAGCTGCAGCAAGTAAGCACCTCACCTGTAACACGTATGGGACTTACCTGTTTCACAGCAATGCTAACTCGCACAGAGTTGATAGAGCCTTCAATTAATACTTTCTCTTTCTCATTCCTGCTAATGATCACAGGCTGCAAGAGGAGTTCTTTGCTGCTTCTGCAAACCCCGAAAGACATTTTTACATCAGAGACTGGGCAATACAGAGGCCCATACATGCCATACTCTGGATATATTTTAACATATCTCTTAACCAGTCCTCATCCCACTCACTATATTTCCAAATCCACAATCATGAAATGTGCTACTCGTGATGAAAATTATGCCAAGAATTATCAGTGATGCACAACAACGGCTGATAAGATGCTGTATGTAAAATGAGCTGTGGGTGGCTTAACACATAGAATAAAATAGAATAGAATAGAATTCTTTATTGGCCAAGTGTGATTGGACACACAAGGAATTTGTCTTGGTGTATATGCTCTCAGTGTACATAAAAGAAAAGATACATTCGTCACAAATCATACGGTGCAACACTTAATGATAGCCATAGGGTACAAATAAGCAATCAAATCATATTAGGACACAATATAAATTGTAACAATACAAGCAACAAAGTTACAGTCATACAGTCATAAGTGGCAGGAGATGGTTGATAGGAATAATGAGAAGAGTAATAGTAATGCAGACTTAGTGAATAGTTTGACAGTGTTGTGGGAATTATTTGTTCAGCAGAGTGATGGCGTTCAGGGGGGAAACTCCTTGTGCTTAGTTGTTCTAGTGTGCAGTGCTCTATAGCAT